TGGCAAATAATTTTTTTTTGTTTTAAAAAAGCCAACAGATTTTTTAATCCTACATTTTTTGTTTTAAAAAATCCTAACAGATTTTTGAATCCTTCGTGAGTATAAATTGTCCATCTACACTCTCGGGCAAAATTAGTATTAGGAATATCTTTTAGATCTTAAATTTTGAAAATTATCTATAAAAAGATCATTTATCTTTTGTATAAGGAGGTCATAATCATTCTTGTCTTTTATATTTCAAAATTAATAATTTAATAGTCTAATTGTTTAGACATAAAATTTTAAAAAAAAAATTTTTGATTCACCTCAAGCTATCCAATTTAATATATAATTAATAAAAATAGTTGTGATCACTTTATACAAAAATAAATAAATAGTTTCTCTATAAGCAAACCTTGTAAATGTGATCAAACCGACTTCAAGAAATAATAATTATTTCTCACTCTTTATATACCTTAAAAAAATGGAGATTGCACTAGAACCATCCAATTTATTGAAGAATGATTTAGATATTTAATAGCTCAAAATTCAAATTTATTTTTTTAAAAATAATCATCGAGTTATAATTAGATGGACTCTGAAATTTCAATTAAAAAAAACTCTTCAAAATAAGTGGTTTGCCCGAGGACGTAACTGTATAGTATATGCTACTGTAGGAGCATAGTATACCCGCTCAAACAAAAATGGGTTCCAAAGTCAATAAAATCCTGCACACACAACCTTCACGTTCACGTGGGCCCCAAATTTAAACACGTCAACCCCCAACAGTAGCCTTACCGTATTTACGAATGCCTTGGATTTTAAGAAATGCCTCGGATACCCTTGACATATGGCCTTTGCCACCCTAATGGCACTTTTGGTTCGTGTGAAAATATTTTGACATTAAAAAATTCTTTAAAGAGTTTTTTTATATCAATTAGTTGTTAGGTATGTGAAAAAATTCTCTGAAGTGTCTTTTTATATCAATTAGTTGTTATGTGAAAGGATGTATTAAAATCAATTGGTATGAAAATATTAATATTTTTAACGATATTAAAAAATTTTTTCATGTGAAAATATTTTCACGCACACCAAACGTGCCATAAGTTTTGGACGAGTGTTAAGCTTGAGGTCAGACTCTCATGGTTGTTTATTGAGGGGTGTTTCTTGTATTTAATTATGAAAAATTATTTGATAAGGTTGCAAATTGGTAGGGCTGTAACCTCCTGGCCCTTCCATTTACATAGATGATGATAAATTTGCACAAAATAAAATGAGGGAAATTGGGTTACCAGATCACTATTGTTTTCTTATACTTCTCCCTCAACTTCTCTATCTTACCTTTCTTAATCGTACTTACTGTCTCTCCTCGCTATCCCGAACATCAAGTTTTCCCAAGCCCACAAAATGCATCTGGCAGCTCAAAATAGAACCTCGAATCCATTGCCTTGGCTCACAAGTAGGGATCATATGGGTCGAATCCATTGCCTTGACTCACAAGTAGGGATCATATGGGTCGGGTCAATCCGTGCGCCTGACAAGCTGACCCTCCCAGCTCTGAGTCTAAACCCATATTCCGTATGATAAATCAGTTGTAGGTCCACTTGACTTGACTCCATTCGGATGCAGGTCTGGGTCTAACTTGGACCCTGTCGGTTAGGCTGGGTCGGGATCAACCTGACCCAACCTAACATGGTACTTATATTTATAAGGTAAATATAAATATAGTGCAATTAGGTATTACAAAATATATGGCATAATTTTTTATATCTTTTTGCTTCTAAACTTGCACTTAAGTAGTGCAGTGGATCAAGTCCAAGTCCAAATGATTTGGACCCAAATAAGGTTTGAGCCAGGTTCGAGCCTAACCTAAACTTAGTTGGGTTGCATTTGGGTTCAGGTCGACTTGGACCTGACCAAGTCCATCCCCACCCCTACTCAAAGGCTTGTTATTGTGCTAATTATCGAACATAGAGTTAGACCTCAATTCAAAGGATCGATGCTTTGAAATCCAATAAGTTTTTTTTATTAGTGAGATAAAGGCTGGGATTCCAACAAGGCTGGCAACTGCCTTGCCCTAGTCCAAGCCCAGCTTTGGTCCCTATAGGGCTGGCCTGAGCTCTTCTTAGACTAGGCCGAAGCGGGAGCAGGCCCAACCCTAAAAATGGCTGGGGTGGGCCTCGCCCTATTATAGCCCTAACAAGGCCTTCAAGCCACATTTTATAGCACAAGGCATAGGTTTTTTAGGGCTCATTATTAGTCATAGCATTCCAATTTTGGAAGGAGGAAGTTATTAAGAATGGAGAGGTTTGGAAAGAGAATTCTAAGTTTTTCCTGAGAAATAGGGTCATCGTAGGTAGTGAGGGTCCATGGCTTTGGTGGTTAGGGTTTGTTTGTTGTTTTCTAGGGTTTTAGCTTATAGGGTCATCGTAGGTAGTGAGGGTCCATGGCTTTGGTGGTTGGGGTTTGTTTGTTGTTTTCTAGGGTTTTAGCTTGTGGAACATGAAATTTCAAATACTTATATCCCTAAGAAGGTTGTGTTCATAGTTAGCTAAATGTAGAATAAGAGAATATAACGACAAAAAAGTACAATAAATAAAATGAAGAAGGAAAAATCGATTATGTCAATGAAGATTCCAATTTTAGGCTACAAGAAATACATTTCTATCTAGATATCAGCAAAACACTTATTGATATTCACGTTTAAACCCGTTCTTCCAATTGAACAATACCACCAATCAACCTCTTATTTCCTCTTTATGTGACAAATCTAACAAGATCTTGGATGAGATCTCCTCGAATTTGTGCACAAACAGTTAACATTTTGATATCAATGGAGAAAGTGGAACTAATCAAATTATAGGTCTAAAACGGGCTCAGATCTAGATAGATCTGGCCGCTTTTTCCACTAGCAGCGTTAGTTGAGTTTTCGCACTAGAGATTTTTTCTTGATACTTTCTAAGGTTTTGGACTTCCTAATTTCTAGGGTATTTTCTGGAATTTTTCCTTATTATTTTTGGGTTTTTGGGATTATTGGGAATGTTGGATATTTTGGAGAATTTTGTGAATTTTTCAAAATTGTCTCAAGACTTTCAAATGATTTTTCTTAGGAGGCCAGGGGGTTTAGATAGGTTTAGGTTCAGGGACCCTTTTGGATTTTTTTTTTTATATTTGATTTTTCTTAATAATTTTTTAGAGTAAATTCCACCACAAAGCCCCAATAATAGCTTATCCAAGGTGGCCAAACTGCCTCTCTAGTCCATCAGAAGATTCCATAAAAAGTTGGAATTGTCTTGGGCCTAAAATAGTCTAAGCACGACCCATACGGTCCACAATACGATCCGTATCGTGGGCCCAAATCACCCCATGTTGGTCCAGTGAAGCTCATTGAATCCAACAATGGTGATCTGGTCTCATTTTAACATATCTTGGGGTTGAGTTTCTCACATTTTCTTATGTATCTTGATATTTCTAACCGGTTTTGGATTACTCTAGTGATTTCAAGGGACTCGGATAACAGTATAGGTGTACTATGGCTCACTAGGCTAGTGTGGTCTCTAAAGCTCAGAACTACAAGTTTATGAGAACTCTATCAGACAGATTCAAAGGGGATGTCTATTTTTTTTTTTTGATATCTATATTTCTCATTACTACACTTCTATCGTAAAAATTCTTGAGAACAAACAATAAGAAAGATCTCCTTCCTCTTCCTTTTGGATGACCCACATCTCTCTTTATAGAAGCCAACCATTCTTTAAATGATCCCAAAAGGGACAAGTATTATATCTCGTTGATCCCTCATATATAGCCGGTTTGAAGAGCAGGCCCTATCAACTCGGACTCGGTAAAGTAACTAGGCCTCAGTAGTGTGTCAAGGTAATTTTATTTGGCAAACTTGGGTTCATAAAACTTACCCAAAAAAAACATAGGTTTATAAATATTATATTATTTCTATATAATTTTTGTTACTAACTAGTGATAAATGTGTGTAAATATATTTCTATATAATTATTTGTGTTCAACGAAGATTTATGATTTTATTATATCCCACACAAAAAAACAAAAGCAAATAACCCCTATTTTTTAGTTGTTATTTTTCAAAAAAAATTGGTTAGCCAATAAAGACTGATAAAGATCAGTGATCCGACACAGATACGTGGGGTGGATGGTCCATTGGTTTCATATCATTGATTTCTACAACTTTTGAGGAGTTTTAGGTTGGGATAACGCTATCTATTCTTTTATGTTATTACTTTTTGGGAAAACAATGCGTGTTGAAGGTCCTATGTACCATGAATAAGTGATTGCCCGTGGGGACCAATGGCTATTTATGTTTATTCATGAATATTTCTCAGGTTGCTTTGGCTATGCCTTGAGCCCTTCTTTTGTGATGTTTTCCTTTTCATGCAAAACATTTTGACACCACGTTTTGGGTGTCCACTTATTTTTTAAACTTGCACCTGTAAAAAATATAAAAATAATATTTTTAATAAAATAAACAGATCAAAATATCTCTAAAAATTTCATAAATATTTTAGTTATTTTCAAAAGTATTTTTGTTATTTTATTTTATTAGAAATATTTTTTTTATATTTTTAAATGTGCTCTATTGAAATGATCGTACTTATTAAATTTTATATTCATATATTTATAGAATAAAAATTTAAAATAAAATACTTCAAAGAGTCGCATCTAAATCAAACGGTTGCTAACTTATTTGATCTAAATTGAATGGGGGGATAAATGACAGTATTGCACTTCTATACACTAGAGAAAGTATAAAAACATTAATAGAGGCCGCCGAAGGGAACAAGGATGAGAAAGTTAAAGATCGATTTCAAAATGAGAAGTAAAATAGGCTTTAATAGAAAATTATCCCCGGATATTCTTGTCATTTAAGTGTAGTTCTTTCTGGTCATTTAGTTAATAGTTAGGGGCGGTTCGGTGAACCCCAGCATCACTATGCACAATTATAGTCAGTTTCCCGATGTATATTTAATGACGACAATAAATAGCAGGCAGGACTCTCGGTCTTCGAGTGCAATGAAAAGCAAATAACAGGAAAAAAAAAAAAACCTGCTTTTCGGATACCCTTTTTCCTTGACTGTGTTCATGCATGTCTAGAAAGAGGGATATATTCATGAAAAAATTTAGAATCTTTTTCATTTGAAATCAAGGGTTAGAAAGTATATGTATCTTTTCCCGCCATTATCTAAAAAATGATCTTCATTGTTGGGGAAATGGAGTTTCTTTCCACTTCGTCCTCTGAGTCCAGCTTCAGAGAGCTAGATGACGAGTTCCTGCAGGTACTTATCTTTCTTGTAGTGCTAAAATAAATAATGGAAGTATTAATATATGGATAACTCTTATTATTGTTCTGATTCGTTTTATTGCTAATCATGTTAGTTTTCCACGATGATATTTGACTGTTCTTGATTTACTTGTACGCGTTTTCTTTTCGTTATTTCTGTTTTTTTTTTAATGGTGGGTGGTGCTTTAGTTTTCTGTTTTCCAATCCAGAGTAAGGAATGAAACTAAAGGAAATTTGGCATCTTATTAGCATCGGCTTGCAGTTACTGTTAAATTCAGTCGCGGTGGGTTTTGATTGGATGAGTTGAATTTAGTTGGTCTACTGAATCCTGTTGGTTGATCTGTTTATCTTCTAGAATAAGGATGAGAGAAGTTGATTCTTTGTTTGGGTTAATGTCATTCTCTGGTTTTTAATTGGTGTTAAGTGAAGTTAGCAGCCAATCTTTTCAGTGGCTCTACTGTCCTGTGTTTGTTACTTGGGGACTATGACAATTGGATTTCTTGTTTCCTAACTGTATTCCCTGGTCCGAAATTGACTTATAACCACATGTTTCTTTTTACTTATTTAATTTGCTTTATTTTGTATTTATTTCAATAAATTTTGCGTGTATTGTGTGTATGTTAATTGCTGCTTTTACATTGATGGGTTTTGTGGAACATTGGGGATTGTAGGTTGATAGGGTCATTGGCGCAGCAGTATCTTGGCTTTAGCATATTTGGTGAATTAAGGTTCTTAAGTTCTATGAGGAGATTATAGACAGGACTACAGGAGAAACGACTCATGTTCCTGCCAGTCCTACCCAATTTAGTAATCGGTTTTAAGTATCTTAGTGGAAGAAGAAGTCAAGAACTACATATATTCAGTGATAATTCGTCATGCTAATTTCTCTAAGTTCGTATAATGAATTTAAGAGGCACATGTGAAAGAACCCACATATTTTAGTAACCATTCTAGTCACTTGGATATTGGTTTTGGGACTTCCTAACTTATAGAAGGAAAAAGAAAGGGTTATAAGGGTCTTAATTGGAAGGAAAATCACATTGTAGGGACTGTTCTACCCAATTTACCCAATTGGGTAATGGACTTTAAGAGTTCCAACTAAGAAATCCAGGACAGAGCTGAAGAACTGCACTGAGTTTGTAATAATCAGTTTCAAGAAGCACAAATGTATATTCACATGCTAGATGCAAATGGTTAGGAGGGGCCTTGTGATGGCTGAAATCAATCATACAGTTGTGAGTCGAATTCACTTGGACTAGTCCACTCAACTCACCTCTGATGAGCAGAAAATTGAGTCAACTCACTCTGACTCTTGAATAACAATTATAGAGAAATAGTTATACACATATCCCTTGCTTACTATGAGCTTATGGCTCCTGTTTTATGCATCATTATCACACAAAAGCACAAAGAGGTTTGGCACTCAGTGAGAATATCCATTTGAGAGTGAGAGTGAGAGTAAGAGCAGTAGTTGGAGTATAGACGAAGAAAGAGATCAATATGCATTGGCTAGGAAGTTCAGGCCCATAAAAGAGTCTGGCTTCTACAACTTGCTGATGGACCATCATCACTCAATTAAAAGGAACTTTGCATTTAGTCTTAGCTATAGGATTCAACCAATGGTTGACCTATCCATGAGTTCATGTTTTTTCATTTTTAGATCAGTCATTCTCTTATCCCACGCCTCCTGACGGGTATGTGCGTAGAGCCTTTTCCTTTTCTTCTTCTTCTTCCTTTCCCCATTCCCCCCCCCCCCCTCCTCTTGTTTTGAGAAGGTGCATGTACCATTTATCTTCATTTTCTATTGCGGATCTCAATCGTGCATACCCTTAATGCAATGAGCATGCAATGTAAGCCGTGTCATATTTCAATGTAATCAACACAGGAGTGCATGTCAACATTGAGCATTTTTTAACTGTTGTTTCATGTTGATTGGTGATGTTTTATTTAGTACAAAAATTTATTATGTAATAGTCATGTGTCCATCATGTCATGCATCTTGTTATGATGTTCTATGTTGTAATGTAATAACCATATCACTGTGTAACTAGATTATAATTCTATCTGTCAAGTCTAGTCTAAGAAAATAAGTATGTATTCATCACATATATCAGAGCAGAATCGTTCGGAGTACAGAATGTTCTTAGGACTAGGACAAAGATTTCAAATTGAAAACTTAGATATAGATGGATCATATCCCATAAATTCTTCTTCCTTTGTCAATCAATATCTCTTTCTTTTTATCTTCTCCTTTGTTTTGTTCCTTGATGACCAAACGATTGGATCTCTAATAAAATAACCATCCTATTTATCTCTCGTTTCGCCACCTATTTTTCATTATCAGTATTCTTCAGAAATCTCTTCTGCCTTATTCCTTTTTCTGTGGGTAACTGGTCAAACATTTCTAAATGATTGAATTGATCGATCCAAATTCTTCCATCCCGAAATCTGAATATGAATACTATACTAAAACTAAACTATGGTGTTATTTATGTTATCTTTTGTTATCCTATGTTATTTCTTACATAAAAATTATAGATTACAATGCCCTGCATGTTCAGATTTCCTTTTTATCCTCAAGGCTGTTGTCATAAGAACAATAGAATCTATTGGATGCCAAATTAGCAGTTTGTTTTTGTGCAACGGCATTGTAGTGGAAGAAAATGATTCCATACCAAATTTACCATTTCTTGGTTTGTTTTATCTGCAGAGACAGGCAAGAATATGGCTTGGTGAGATGCTGCATGTGAGATTTGATGAGAAGACAAGTGTTACTGATTTGCTTGCTGATGGAGAATTGCTGTAAGTTTTACAATTCTATGTGGTTTAAGTTTGGTTTTGTCATTATTTTAGGAAAATATACACTTTAACTATAAAGGGATTCTTTTTTCTTGTATGTTTCTCTAAGCATGGTGATTTGTGATGACTGTGAAGTCTCATGTTACCGATTTTGCATTAACTTCATCTAATAATTGCCCTCTAAAATGCTCAATGTTTAGGGCTTTATTTGGTTTTGGGATCATTGAAAATGCAATTTAGAATCTTCTAGTTTTCCGTAAGGAATTTATTCTTTTCATTTCATCACCTTCCCTTGAAATGTCATTTGATGTAATACCATTTGAAATTCCATGTCTGAAAACTGTAATGTGGCCAAAAGTTTCCATTGGAAGTGCTTCTTATATGGTTGACCAAAAACTTCCATGTATGAACAACATCTTCTATCAACAGTAACATGTTGTAAATACTAAAAGTAAAAAGAAAAACCCCCACTGGTATGCTTTATTGCTGCTTGTCACCATTCCTGCCTCCTTACTATGTTGGATAGTTCCTAGATCTGTTATAATCCTATTCCTCGATGAAGAGCACACCGACCAAAAGTTGCACTGCTTCATTTCTATGTTTGTGAGCATCCATGAGGGTTTTTCTCCCTGCATCCCTGAGGATGGTTATGACTTCCAAACTTTTAACTGATTATTCATTTTACCGGGTGATTTATCCATCTGCTTTCCAGAATTATACCCTACAATAAAAATGGCAACAAGTGGCATTCTGTTAAGATGCTCAACTTGTGCACCTGGTGGATTATGTGAGATGCACCAAGTTGTACATGGAAGCACGTATGAAGTAGGCATGTTGTTATGTTATTTGTTTTCCATCAGCATAATAGTTCATATGAGTGGCAATCATGGATATACTCTATGTGCATGCTGTAAATGGACATGTAATTTGTGTGTGTCTCCCTGCATGTACTTTACTCCTTTTTGGTAAATATGTATTGATTGATTGCATTACCCGCATTCTATGAGTATGCAAAGGTTTGTCTGAGCACATATATTTGTTTGCACAAATGTATTTGTATGTTGGGGATACTCCTGCAGGAGCAATTTGTACACTTGCTCCCTTTGTCAAAATGCCCACTCAGGAGGATATGTTTGATCTAAAATTCTGGAGAAGTCTTAGATTGGCCAGGTGAATAATTATCTAAAAAAGAAAAACAGTTTTGAGTTCCTAGACACCTTGATCTGACTGCTGAAAATTGGATGGTCTGTCTTCACTCTTGGGATGGGAATTTTTTTTAGCCAGTTTTAGGGTCTGATTTCAACTGTCTTGTTTTTTCTTTTGGTTAGTCACTATGAGTAGATTACATCCCTGAAATTTGGGGTCCAAAAGTACTCCTTGGTAGGTTTTTGCTCGAGGGAGCAAGTGTACAATTTGCTCTCATGGGAGCACATGATTATTTTCGTTTATGAGTTATTGATGTCTGTTTTACGTGTAAATTTGTGTATATGGTATTAGGCATGTGCACACATATATTTCTTACTATGCATATAGTTATCATATGTCTGGTTCAATGTACTGATGTATTTGGTAGTGTATTTATGTGTATATTTGTGTAATACATATCACTTATTCTTTTAATCTTCCAATGATAAGTTGGGAGTTAATTCTATAATATCTGCACTCAAATTATTACTTGTTCCTGATCATTTTGTTAATATCTTGTTCATGTGTGTTTAGATATGGTTAATTTGCATAATTCATACACAGTGGATGTTTTACTTATCTAAAGGCTTTCACTTTATATCCTTTCATCAGTACCGGAAAACTTTCCCTCTGCATTTCATGCTAATAATCAAGGAGTATTTCAATTGTATATAGGTGTCAAGTGTCCAAGGTAGTGTGGCAAATGTTGCTGAGAACAAATCCAGAGCTATCAGATTCAAAGGCATACATATCTGAACCAACAGCTTCAGGGAAGAGTGGTGGCAGGTATCTGCCTTACTTAAATGTTGATGCTTTTCTCAAGGTAATTTTTCATATTTTGTTTGATTGATCAAGTTTGTGTACATGGTTTTAACATTTTTTACTGGAAACCATTGTCTTGTATTGGAGAAATATGGTTTCATGTCAAAATTTAAAACCAAGGTTGACTTACATGACAATGTGTGAGACTGTATAAGTCATGGCCGACAGAATGCCATCAAGCATTTTTTTCTGTAGGCTTCTTATTTATTGAGGAAGGATGGCTATCACACCCAGTCCAGGCACTACTACTACCTAAGCTCTAGAGTTTGGCATCCAGAACTTCTTTACTAGGAGTTATCTAGTAACTTTCGTGGCTTGCTACACTTGGTTTGTGGCACGCTAGGTTGTCTGCTCAATTTCCAGGCTTACCAAGCAAGAAAAATTAGGAAATCTTTAAGGTAGAGTGAACCATCCACATAAACCATTCTCATGTTGACACTCAAGGCCTGACAAAGATTACGTTAGGGACTTCATAGCAATTCCACTACATAGCAATTCCATAACCTGATGAGCAAAGTATGCGCCAAGAGAATGATAAGAGGCTTGGGACCTATCAAGTATACTATGAAATAATAGTTGTTAAAATCTCAAAAAAAAAAAATTGTTATGATTGATATTCCCTCAAGTTTGATGAGTAATGATGGTTATGGCGTTGCCTAAAATTAACATTTATGATTGTTGATATTGTTTGTCTAAGCATATGAAAAATGCCATAGTGCTGTTACATCAGCTATTGGAGCATCCAATTTATTTATTTTTTCAATATAGAGAAAAATAGGGCACATTAAACTCCCACATGTATTCAAATAAGCTTAAAGGAGGTGGTATTAGGTAATCTAAGGGAATCCCCAATACATGTGTTGGTTTCAAGGAGATAGGCTGAAAAGGAGTGTGCAGTTGAAGATAGAAAAAAGAGAATGTGTTTCATGATATTTTTATTTAAGAGTCGAGGTGGACACTAAATTTCTATTGAGTGTTACACTCAATATGGATAGAGTACTTGTGTCTTCAATTGGGAACCCTTTTCGGTTCCCAGCTTCCCAAAGAAGGAAGAAAAATGGATTGCTCCTGGTGCCCTAGCAAATTTCAATTGTTCAGTTTTTGAACCCTATATTTAATGGCTTGATAAGAACAATTACATCCTAATCACAAATTGATAATCAATTGCATCTAAATCAATCATGCATAATAAGATCTTACAAAGAACAAAAGCACCTGAGCCCCCCCCCCCTTTTTTTTTTCTTTTGACAAAAGTGACTTTATATTATTATTTAAAAATTCACCTGATCCCTTCTGAAGGTACTTAAATGTTCTTATGTGAGATTACTGATACAATGACCTCCTGAAATGCCATTTCATTGTATGTCACTTTTGTTATTGATCAGTGTATTACCGGCAATTACCGAGCAATTAAGGAAAATAACAAATAAGGGAATCTATTCTTACCTTCTATTTGTCTTCTGTGTCTTACGTGACAATAGGAACCCTTGATTTCTTGTTAAAAAGTGAAAAACATCCATTGTCTCTCCTACTATTCTCTATCAGTATTATCAAATGCAGCTAAATAACTCATTATGCAGCTGCATCACACGTTATGCGCCTTGGGCATTTGTCGGTTTGGTGATGTGCCTGCATCTGATGCGAATCACCTGCATATGTGGGTGCATCAATGTGATGAGCCCGTATATGCAGCCCATTGCTCATGGGAAAAAAATTGCCCATGAGAAGGGGCAGTTATTGTAAACAACAACCCCCTACCCCCTGTGGGCAACTGGGCCCCCAGAAAGTGAGTACAAACTATAATACTTCCATGAGGAATGAAGTATAAAACCAAACACTCAACAAGAACACAAGATCTACTTGGTTCACCCCAAAGGGGCTATGTCCATGAGTATGACAAACTGAAATCCACTATGTCGATGAGACTTCACAGATTTTGGGATTCAAAGGTTACCTATCTAACTCTTGATCATACAATGTTGATTTGCCCCTTTAACCTACTATCCTAACCTACATTGCCCGTGAATCACCCATGTCTTTCCCACACCCAAATCATTGTCAAGAAGAGAACCTTGAGTGCAATCGAAACTTTCTTTCTAAAAGAGGAAACTACCCAAAATCTCCTTTTGAATTGCTTCTCTTTAATTAATTGGCTCTCTTTCTTTAGGTAAAAGCATCTCTTTGTATAGGATGCCTTTACCCTCTCTCTAGAGGAATCTACCTTTTCCCATACTGTGAACCATCTAGGGCACACAGAGACCACATACATATTGGCCTTCTATAGGTGTCTTGAGCTCTTAGCTTGATCCCCAAGCAACCCAACATGAGTTCCTCTCTTTTCTAATATATAAATGCATATTAAAATTAGCTGGACTAAGACAGAGTATATGGAATGCAAGTTTAATAATAATAGGAGTCGAGATGAGGAAGTAGTTAAGATTGACGGCCAAGAAATACCAAGAAGACTGCACTTTTAATATCTTGGGTCCATAATCCAGGAAAATGGAGAGATTCAAGAAGATATCGCACACATAATTAAAGCTAGGTGGGCGAAGTGGAGATGTGAAACCGGAATTTTATGTGATTACTGCATACCAATGAAGCTAAAGGGCAAGTTCTATAGGTCAGTTGTGAGACTAGCTTTACTCTATGGGCGGAATGTTGAGCAAACAAAAAATACCCATAGAATGAGTGTAGCAGAGTTGAGGGTGTTGAGTTGGATGAGTGGAAAGACAAGAAGGGATAGAGTTTGAAATGTATCCATTCAGGAAAATTTAGGTGTGGCACCAATAGGTGATAAGATTAGAGAGAGTAGACTTAGGTGGATGGCCATGTGTGGTGCAAACCTAGTACAACACATGTTAGGAAGTGCGAGTTAGTTCAAGTAGAAGTCTAGAAAAGGGCAAGGGGTATGCCCAAAAAATACATGGTTGGAAGTAGTTCGAAATGATATGGGGATTTATGGCCTCACTGAGGGTATGACCCTTAATAGAGCAGAATGGTCGACTAGGATTCGTGTAGCTGATCCCAATTAATTGAGAAAAGGCTATGATGATGATGATGGTATATAATACATATGCAATCCTAAATTTTTGGTAACTTAGTTATGGGATGGTATTCATTCCCTAAAAGACAAGCATTACAAATGCATAAAATATGAAACGATGTCGATCAACTCTTTGCACAGTAGGAACTTGCATATCATGAATATCCTTCTCTTATTCAAGTCAATCTTTATTAGCCATTCTTTGGGCAAGTTATTTTGGTATCACTGACCGCAACATGGGAGAGAGAGAGGGTTTTCCTCTCCTTTTATCTTGTAGGGAACTTGAAATTCTGAAATATGTGAACATGAGAGAAGGGGTTCTCACTTATTTTGTAAGGAGTTTGTAGATAGTGAGTCAAGTTTGTCCATTTAACATGACTAGGCAGTAGAGCAAAATATAAATGCTTTATATATGCTTGATCACAGGAGAGAGAAAGAGAGCTTGGTCCATGTGAGGGCAATATCTCCCTAGGTTCTCCAATTTTCTAGGGATTGATATGGACATTTATGATGATTATGTGATTCAAGGCTTTAATCACAGTTGGGTTTAGGCATGTTTGAGTATATGTGAAGGCCCTCTCTTAGGTGTTTGGGGAGGATGTCAATTAGGTTAGTCAATTATTCTTTACTCTATAGCACATGGTCTTTAATGTTTGCTTAAGATCCTATGGTCATCTGAGTGGTAGGAATGTGTCTTATGGGCCATATGGTTTTCCTAGGTCTGGCCTAACTAATTCTAGACTTCAGGTGTTTTTTAAAATAGCTGGAAATTTCTAAAAATCATGAAATTTATTGCATTCAAATTTGAGTATCTACGCCCTGATTAGCAATAACCCTTTCCATCCTTGTTTAAAAATGTATTTTATCTTTCGTGGCATCAATGGTAACTTTTTGACCCTAGGGGTAGTAATGATGCCATGCATGTGTGAAAGCTTTTTAGAGCAGTGGACATTCCTCGGTGTTCATGAGCCTGTCTCTCCTGGCAGCTACTTGGTATATATTGGAAAATTAGAATTATCATATTCTTTAGTGTTCATGAGCCTCTCTCACCTGGCAGCTACTTGGTATATATTGGTAAATTAGAATTGTCATATACATTAAAGAAAATTTTTTAAATGGCCATTATGCTGTACTATATATAATTTTTTTTTGATAAGTTACATTATCTGTAGCATTAAAATAATACTATTAAAATATAAACTGCAAATGACTAGAAGTTATCAATAATTATATGTGTATATCAAAAACACTATATCTTTGATGCTCATTAGTCAATGACTTATTACTGATGTACACATATATTGTTATCTTCATGTTCTTGCAAAATTTGCAACGGTTCTGACTTTGAATAGCGTCTTACCTAGAAAGAGCAATTAAAAGAAAAAGTAGGCGAAAAAGGAGGATGGAATTTGCGTACTATTAACAAATAAAAAGGTATGGAAACAAAAGAGATCTATATAAAGGTAATTGTTTATTGTTATTCTGACATCTGAATATGGTGAAAGGTGTTTCGATGGGTTTAGATTATTATACAACTGAATCGCCATACCATTTTATGTTAGCAACCATGCATACCCGTACCCCAATCACAGTTCGAAACTCTGTGCCTGCATCATGGGCTACATATGCCATGTTTGTAGTTTATATGTCGCAGAACTTGAGCGCATATCAAATTTGCGATCAGTAAATTTGATAACCCTAGTTATGCGAGTCCTCCTTATATGGGTAACAGCTCGTGCTATTTTTATTACAAAGTATTGCCCAACTTTCTATCTCTTGGTGTGTAATCTTGGTTTCTGTGTGCCACATACTTTGAACCGTCAACTGTGAAAACCTCGTAGCACACCCCTTTATCAAAGGCTACTGTGCAAGTTACCATGATCTAAAAAGCATGGACACTTGTGTATGCTTAAAATACAGTGTTCTATCATGTTGGCCGCGATACCGATTCCAGATACTCCCAGGATACTTATAATAGTGAATGAAATTACCATAAACATGGATATTTAATATTTTGAATCATGATATTTATACATTTCAATGTGTTGGATGCACATATTGATGTATTAGACACACATTACGCATATTAAATAGGATCCTGGTATCCATTTCCATGTCTTGGATTTTGATAAATGCTGAATCATATCTCTCCTCATATCCTTGTTTGTATCTGTATTAATTCCTGAACGTCTCAACTATGATGCCCAACATGTGTAATGCCTATCTTTTGACCTGTCACACATGTTCATGTGAGATGATTTCCACTAGATTCCTTGTCCTAGCTTTGCATACAAGTGAGCCCATCTCTGATCTATTTTGTGGTCTTAAGTGTGATTTTGGTGGATATGAACGATTCTTTGTTGAACTTAATTTCACTGTTTAATGCTACTAAAAATACTCTTCTTCTGCAGATTTGTCAGATATTGGGCTTGACTAGTGTTGATCTTTTCACTCCATCGGATGTTGTTGAGAGAAGGGGTACTCGTAGGGTTTGCATCTGCGTTCGGTCCCTCTCAAAGAAAGCCAGGTCAAGGCAATTAAATGTGAGGACATTTATTATTTTCTTATGTAGATAAACACTTCACTTGGGAATAATGTCTCGTAGTTCTCTCAGTGGTTGAAGCTCCTCAAGCACTGCCTTTTCTGTGGTAGGTTCCAGATTTTGACGTTGTTACCTCTACAATAGCCATGCCCACAGACATGGTTGGCTGCATACGAAGATGCTTGGAGCAATCGCAATGTAGCTCGTCTGTTTCCCTGAGTCATACTTCAAGCTCCGAACGAAATCCTAAAAAGGTGGGGATGCTTTTACTGACAAATGGAGTTTTAATGAGGATTTCAGTTAAGTGATGTATTTGTGCATTTTGAGGCAATGATATCAAGGAAAATATATTGCACTTCAATGGACAATTAAAACACTTTAGTGTATTGGGTCATCCCCATCCATTGAACTGGTGGCAGTGATGAAGAGAGTGTTTAGGAGCCCACTGTGGGCACCATCATTCTTCATTGCGACCCACCATTTCATTGCATGGTGATAACTTCATAGACTATGGTTTTCCATAGTTCCGTTGGACTCTATTTCCCAATGGTATTATCATTTCTTTTGTCAGTGGCTATCATGTTAACTGTTATTATTTTTGGCACTTCAGAAGTCATCCAGAGGAGAACTTATTAGACTGTTTGGCCATCCGTCAGAGTTCTCTAGTGATGCAGAAAGCAGTTTAAGGAATCTAGATTTTGGAAGTACAGCCTCAAGTACCTCCTATGAAACGTTTTCCAGATCAACCCATTTTTCACCAAGATGTGGTTCAGTAGTTGAGGACAACTTTTCAACCACACCTCTGCAGATTCAATCACCTTTGGAAAACACATGTAATGGTGGTCATTTGGACTTTGAAATTGATTCCCACTATTCTTCAGCAGTAAAAAATTCTGTAAATGCAGGCGTTATAGATAAAGGTAAGCACCAACTTATAATGACATCCTTGATTGCTTTTGCCTTACTCCCTGAAGTCCAAAGTAATCCAAGTGAACGGCTCATGTTTGTTAGAAAAGAAATTCGAGAACTGTGAATTCCTCTCTCTATTTTCATGGAACTTGTTTCTTGTGCAGGGGATTATCCTTCAAGAGTTCTAGATAACCAGCATACTGTTACTTCAACAGATGCCTATATTAGAGAAATCTGTAGTTCTTCAGTTCTTGACAATGAAATGATATTCACTATCTTCCCAGATAGTGTAGACTCCAGATCTGATATTCTCTCTAGTTATGTTCAGGAAGAATTGGGAAACACACATGTATTTACTACACCAGGCGCATATCATGCCACAAGTAAGAAGATTGTTGAGTCTGGTTGCAACTATTGTATGGAGGGAAGCCCCTCTGCAAATAGCATATTTTGGGCAGGCAAAAACATGGAGGTACTTGGAGAATGTATTTGTCAAATTCATGTCAAATCACCTAACAATAAATCTGAGTTGATATCAGAATTTAGAGACTTAAACTGCCCTTATGCGCTAGAAAATATAGGTTCCTACAAAAGCCATTTGTATGGGCATGTATTAGGTCATTTGGATTCTCTTTATAGCTGTACCCTTGCTTGTAACTGCAATCACAACAGTGAGCTCGCAACTTATACAAAATACATGCTGCCTCAAGGTGTCTTTCCTGTTTCCCATCTGGATAGTAATTTTGTTCAAAACTGTAAGGAGTATGTTGTTGGGGTTGATTGTGGTTTATCTTCAGAACCACAAGGTTCAGATGTTAAATACTTGGGTAGAACAGCATGTCCAAGATTAAAATGTCCTTCGGATGTGGCAAAAACACATTTTCAAGAAGCAGAAAGTGATGCAGCAGATTTTGGTGCGGCTGTCATTGAGGTAGAACAAAGCGCTAAGTTGAACTTTAATGGGAATAAAAAGGAGCTACAACTAAGATCGAAAAGTTCTGACCGGAGTGTTTTACATGTGAGAGATCAGTGGCTTGCATCAGAAAATAGAGTTCACGACAAGGTAGAAGCTTTTTCAATAGTCGGTATGGAAGATTCAACTTGTCAACCTTCAAAGCACTGTGAAGAAGATCCAATTGAATTTGGTGCAAAAAACTTTTCAGACCGTTGCTTGGATGGTTGCTGCAAAAATATGTGGGTAGACAAACACATCAACAGTAATGGGAAATCAGGAGAAACAGATTTGAAAATTGTCAAATTCTCTGATCATCACATTAGTATGGAAAGGGCTGCAGGTGCGCTGATAACAGAAATTGATGCCTTTTCAACCACTGCATGTTTTTCGGATCAGGCAACTGAAAATGTCAAACTGAATGATGAGAATGAGAGAAGACCATATGGTTCCCACCAGGTAAATGTTGATCTCATTGATTTTATGAATCTGGAGAAGGTAAATTATTGAAAAATGTCTGGTCCTTCACTTTCATTTTGTTGCTTTTCTTTTATACGAGTTTTTGGATGTAATCTTTATATATATATATATAATTTTACTCTTTTTTCTATAAATCAGATTACGATGAAATTTTGAGTGTATATACCTAACACTATTGCGCACCATTAAAAAATATAAAACAATTACTTTCAATAATTTAAAATGACCAAATTACCCCTGTAATTTTTCACGAGTATTTTGGTCATTTTATATTTTAGGAAATATTTTTTATTGTGCACCCTAGTTTTTTGTACACATCTCCAAAATTTCATTCCAATTTGATTTCT